CAAAACATATAAGACGAACCAAGTTATTTTTCAAAACACATATTTTTTCCGCAAAACTTTTCTTTGTTTTCATGTCTTTTTGATTTTTTTTTTCGGTTTTAAGTCATTTCTATTTTTAATGATTTCCATATTGAATAACATTTGTGGTTTTTAATATTGGTATATTTTTTTCAGTTATTATTTGGCAGCTTGGAAGTAAGCGGTGATTCTGATATAAATATGCCACATTAAGCTTTAACATTTACTTGAGTATGGTATTGTTATAAAGACACTCAGTTTATAACACCTTTTTTCTTTCCTTTTTCTACATATATTTTATACTTTTTTTTATTAATTTTTAAGTTTACAACTTTTTGCTGAGCACAATTTTTAGGGGAGCTGAAAGAAAATTATATACTTGAGGCTTTTCAAAAATTTACACAAGAACAAAACACTTTTTTTTGTGTATTTTTTGCATTTATTGCTAACACTTTTACTGCCAACATTTCAATATAGAGCTTATCTCGAAAATGGGTTCGTGTCTTAAGTCTTTTGAATTTTTTCATTTTTTTTCCTAGTCTTAAATTAAGCTGTGTTTGCATGTGATTAGTGTATATGCTTGTAAATTGATGAATATGTATTACATAATCAATTTTAAACAACAGCAAAAACAAGTATTAGCACTAACAAATTCAAATCAAAAAAAAAAAAACAAAATCGTAAAAACTACCACCACGAATCAACACTAATCCAACCATTCATTTATAATTTTTGCAACATGCGGGTTGTTGTAATGAATTTACGTGCGCACCAAAGTATTAAACACTTGAGTTTCAAGTTTTTTTCATTACTTTTTCTCTCCTACTCGTCGCCTGTGTATAAAAGCTTCAGCACAGGCACTCACAGATATTCAAAACATTTACGCTAATAGCAAATCGAACTCCAAGATATTTGAATGTATATTTGTATATATGTATATATAAATACCTATATCTACAAATAATGAGCGAAAAAATTTAAAAAAAAAATTACAACGGCAACTGCACACAAATCCTATTACCTCTCATGACAAACGAAAATTTCGCAACGCTAATTTTTTTCCTGATAAAATTTGTAAGAAAAAAAGGCTGCAGATTTTGCCGAGATCGAGGGAAATTTTTGAGAAAAAATATTTGCATGCAATTGAGTATGAAAATCGATTAATTTCGGGGGATAAGTTTCAAACATACATATGTATGTATATATATTTTATGTTTGTAATTATGTGTCTTATGCACTTTTGGGTTAAATTTTTGCAAAATACTCATACATTTGAGACGAAAGAGGTAACAACAACAACACTTAGCAACAGCAAAAAAAAATTACATCAACACCATAAGCCACCAAACTATGAGCTTTTGGCATCACAGCGCACTTTATGTGCATGACAGCAATTTCCGCATGTCGCAGTCACATAATAAAAATAATAAACATTTTTAAATCACATTGTATATGTACATGTTCATATATCTTTGTATATAAGTTTAGCCTCTGACACCTTCCATACTGCGTACAGGCAGCTTAAAGTGTTTGAAGCTTCCTAAGCAAGCAGTCAAAACTACAAAGTTTTTTTTTGTTATTTACAAACAAATAACAGTATGTATGTAATATACGACACCTTCACTTTATGGAGATGACATTATTTGACACTTTTACATACATAAAAAAATTTTTTTGCGTACATAAAATGATTGCATCTTTATTTGCTTGCATAAGCGATAAAAACTTCGTTACGGCTAAAAAAAAAGTCTTCTTCAGTTGAATAAGTTTTGCGTACTTTTTGCAAAATTAGTTTTAGGTTGAGATTTACGCAATTGATGTCAATATATTTACGTGCATAGGTATGTTTGCGATCACTTATAGTTTCATTTTCTTGCTTTATATTAGCTCTAGTTTGGTTGTAGTGGCTGCACTTTGGCCTGACTAAGACCCATTGTGGTGCTGCAAAAACTTCGTTATCTCTCTAATGAACCTCATTACAACAACGATATTGACGTCAGCTATGTTTAATACATCATTCAGCGTAGGGTTCCAGAATTCCGAAACCTATTACGATCAAAAAGAGTTGAGCGATCGTCTCCTTCTCCTCATCATATTAACAGCTTCAGTAGCCCCTGGTTTATGTGCATGTCGCTTTATTAGACATTGTTCTGTCAGAATTCCGATTACTCTGAGCACGTCCCCTCTTTTTAAGGTATACATATCTCGTGATCTTATTTCTTAAATTCCTTGGGAAGGAGCTAGCAAGCGTTCTATACCGAGAAAAATCTGCTGCTTGGTCGTACCTTGTCTAGCAAGTTCATCTGTCTTATAGATTTCCTTTGTTATCCATGTCCCAAGCGTGAGAGGCAATCAGCCCAGCACAATTTTGGAATTAAGTCAAAGCGAGCCAATTGCCATTATTGCTGCCTGACTGTCGCTGAAAATGAAAATAACTTTATATTAAATCTAATAAGATTACTTTGAAGCAATGTGCGTGAAAAGACCTTTGGAAGTAAAGGTTGTAAAATCTTCTCTCCCAAGGAAGCTTCAAAAGATTCTAAGCACAATTTTCGTTGATTTTAAGTATGTTTTAATTTATTTCATAGCGTTAAGCATCTCATCAAAATCCGTCGGCACTTGGAGGCGGCTAAGTTTAAACTGAATGTCCCTTCATTTATTGGAAAAACACCAAGACGCAAAAGCCACAAATCGGAGGAGTCGGTTTAAAAATTTAACGTAAAAATATACAATTAAAATATATTTTTATTTCATGAAATTCCAATTTTTGTGACGAAGTTTCGACCCTTGCTTCCTTTTTATATTATATTTTTATCTCAATCACTACTTCTTTCTTTCAAATGACCGTCTCGTGAACTTTTGCAAACTTCGGTCCATTGGAGGTCATTTTCAACCATTTTTTGGAACGTATTTAGCAGTACCTCAGTCAAAATTTAACGAATGTTAGTTTTCCAATTCTCAAAAGTTAAAGGTTTATCCGCAACCCTACAAGAGAAAAGTCCAACGGCGTCAAATCACACCAGAGATTACGCGGCCGGGCAATTTCTCTCGCAATAAAGCCAAATTCCCTCGTGTTGTGTGACATGTGGCACAATCTTGTTTACATCACATATTGTTTGACATGTGATCATCAATTACAGGAAAAAAAGAAGTCGATTTTCATACGTCCATAACACTTCAAATCGGCAGTGACGTTCCGTCTTATGGTCACACCTCCGGATCAAAGTGTGCACCAGACAATCGTTTTTTCCTATTAACATCTCTTCAATTATTGGATCCAAATCCGACAATTTTGTTTATTTAAGTAGCCTCCGAGTGAGAAGTGACCTTCGTCGTTGAAGAAAATTTCTTCCGAAAAAACGCCGTCCACTGCTTGAGGTTCAAACCAACTAATGTTTATATGTACGACGTTGTGAATGGTCAGTAGACTTCAGCTGTTACGAGATCTGAGTTTTACATGGATGTAAGTCCAAATACAAAAAACATCGTAGCCTACCGTAAGAAAGTCTCAGCTCTTTAGAACGTTGAGGAATATACATATTCCGGCCTTCGGCTACACTTCCACTTTCAATAGAGATATTTGAGGTGGAACGAGCAAAACGCTGATGGCATAAAAGGCCTTAAGATATCTGCAACCGATACAGCATCATAAACTCTACTTGAAGCAGGAATCGTGGCCACGTTTTAAGCACAATTTTTGTTGTTTTTAGAAATTTTTACGTGTTGTGCGGGGGTTAGGAGGTCCATTTCCACAAGTGTTTGCTTTTTAACTAAAATAAAACACGTTTGCGTTGATAAATATCTAAATACAGCACTGTACCTCTGAAATTACGAAACATATAACCCTATATTTTCTGTTAACGCTTCTGATTCCGCAGTGGACACAAATTTCTGACTTTGTGAAAGCAAAAGGCGAAAATTCGAATATTTTTTACTTATAAGAAATTGATTAAATGAAGAAAACTTCTTTAATAATGCGTAACTCAGTCCATTTTAGTACGTGAATTACTTCTGATATGTTCAAAGAAATTGAAATATTTGCTAAAATGTTTTTCAGAAAACACGAGTCTAATAAAAAAGGAAAAAAAATACAAAAAATAAAAAACTAACTAATTTACGACAGAGAATACTTCCATAGAACATTACGAGGTCAACCTTCAAAGTGAAACTCAATTCTTTTATAAAGAAAAAATAGTAAAAAAAATCGCAAAAAAAATATTCAAAATAAAAATCCCAAAACCGCCAATCTTAAAATATTTCATGCAGTCAACACAGCCAACTCATAATACATAAAAATGGCTGGAGACCGCTAGTCTTGTTTATCAACAACAACAGAAAGAGAGACGAAAATCGAACAAAAATGAACCAGCTGAGCTTACAAACGGTCAAGACAGGTATTGATTGGACACGCCACTAGCAATGGCCACTGTTGGCCATTTTGCCCAACGCACCAACAACACGCCATGTCCATGGTCAAAGTGCCATTCTAGCAACGTCGACGACGCCATAACTGGCAAAGTAGCGATGAAACTAAAACTAAATTTATTGCATTGCGCATGCGCGCAATTATTTAAATTGCATTTGACCAAGAGCCAAACGAAAAACGCAAATACAAGTTACAAAAAAAAAAAAAAAGAAAACAGAAAAAAAAGGCGCACTAAGAAGTGAACCGTAAGCTTACTTAACAAACAACACCCGCTCTAGACCACATGACCAGCCACGGGCCGCTTAGAAAAGTGGCTATAAGTGTCGCTGCCAAGCTGTTTAATTATATTGTCTGTGCGACAGGTTATTTTATGGTCATAAAGTAACGGTTATTTAGCGACAAATTCCATTTGCGTTGTCGGCATTTACATTTTAATTATCCCTTACCATTTATTTACTAGTCTGCTTATCCGAAGCTGACATTAATTGTGATTTAACTGCGCTAATATTCATGTAAATTTATCTCTCTCTCTCTCTCTTTCTCGGTCTCGTTTTAGGATCGTGCGCGCAACGTATCCGAGCGTCTCTCCTCCACTACCACGCTCACTGTAAACATAGCCGATTCGGATGATCAGGATCCATCGTTTATTTATCGTGGTTGTGTGCTGCTCGATGGCGCTTGCATAAATCCCGAGTACTCTGCTTCTGTGCCTGCGGGCTCGCTACAAGGTGTGCTCACCGTGACACCCGAACGCATACAAGCCGTGGATTTGGATACCATAAGTTCGCCCATTCGTTACTCCTTCGCTAGCGGTATGCCGAGTAATTATGCAGACTACTTTGAGATCGACGAACAGACGGGTGTGCTGAAGCAGATCAAGGCGGTGGATACTTCGACGGCTAAGAAGTATGACATTGTTGTAAAGGCGGAGGAAGTGTCCATAGCGAAACGTTTTACCACAGCGAAGTTGACAATCAATGTAAAGCCCGTGGATGCCAACCCGCCGGTCATATCTGCGAGTGAGATCGAAGGTTATGTCGATGAGAATTCGCCGATCGGCACTCGCGTGGTGGATGTCAATGGCAAACCAATCTCTTTCAAGACCACAGATGCTGATTTGGGCGAGGATGACCCGAAACCTGATTATATTTACGAACTCACGACGCCTTCCTTCGATGTCACAAATGATGGCATTTTGATTGTTAATGAAGAAGGCTTGGATCGCGATCCACCTGCGCCAGGACGTTATAAGTTCCAAGTGGTCGCACGGGAGCCACGCACCAATGCTGCCAGTGCACCACTCAGTCTGACCGTGCATCTGCGCGACGTTAACGACAATCCACCCAAATTGGCGATGGTGCCACCAATCACGATCACCGCCGGTGATGGTCAACGCACAGTGACCAAAGTTACTGCCACGGACAATGACGAGGGTCCAAATGCAATTATCACCTACTCAATCTATCACGTTTCGAATAATGGCCTGCAAAAGTTCAGCATCGATGAGAAGACTGGCGAGATAGAAACGCGAGGTCGTCTGTTGGCCGGCGAGCAGTATAGTATAACGGTACAAGCTACAGATAATGGTGGTCTTTCCTCGCAAGCTATTGTAGAGATCGCTGTGACGCCAGGACCAAATACGAAGCCACCCAAGTTCGTGAAACCCATCTATGAGGTGCAAGTGAGCGAAGGCGCTGAAATCAACTCCACCGTGACTGTTGTACATGCCGAAGATCCCGAGAATGATCCGGTGCTTTACTCGATAGTTTCGGGCAACGACTTACGTCAGTTTGCGGTCGGACAAGAGAGCGGTGTTATTATGGTTATACGCAAACTGGATCGTGAAAGCCTAACTCGCTATCAACTCGTTGTAAAGGCCGAAGACAATGGTGGGCTTTCAAGCAGCGCAACGGTAAACATTAAAGTGACCGATATCAATGACAAAAATCCCGAGTTTGATGAGTCCACACTGCCGTATATGTTTGAAGTAGACGAAGGCAAGAAGGATGCTTTCGTTGGCATTGTACATGCTACTGATGCCGATGAGGGTATAAATGCAGAGATTACCTACTCTATGCCGCAAGATATACCCTTCTCCATTGACGGTAAGTCGGGTGAGATACGCACTGCTGCACCCTTGGACTACGAACGTCAGAAAGAGTACCGATTCGTGGTGACTGCCAAAGACGGCGCGCCTGATGCACGTCTCGGCACAGCAAGTGTTACCGTACAGGTGCGTGATCTACCCGATGAAGTGCCGAAATTCGCCGATGCACGCATCGACGTGCATGTACCCGAGAATGAGGCGGACTACTTAGTAGCTACCGTACAGGCATTCGATCCAGACACTGTGCAAGAGATTACCTATGTGTTACGCAAGGGTGCAACGGAACTCTTTAAAATATCACCGAAAAGCGGTGAGATACGCACCACCAACGGCTTGGATTATGAGAAGAAGAAACAGCATGAACTTATTGTCGGAACTATTGAAAATGATGGAGACGGGCCAGGCGATACGATACGCATCTACATCGAAGTGGATGATCGCAATGATGTGCGACCGGTGTTCGCCGCAGTTCCTGAACCCGTTACCGTAAACGACGATCAGCCGATTGGCACCCGTATAGCCACTATGGCAGCCATAGATGGTGATGGCTCATCGCCAGGCAATGTAGTGCGCTACGAGATGGTGGGGCGTGGCAAAGCACTGAAGTACTTCCAGGTTGATGCGGACTCCGGTGCAGTGCACATAAGGGATGATCTACGTAAAGAGGAAGACACCGAGTATCAGGTGGACATACGAGCATATGATATGGGTGAACCACAGTTGAGCTCCGTGGCGACGTTGCCAGTTTTCGTGCGCCATCTGTTAGTCGATCCAAATGAAAATGGCATGATGGAGGGTAAAATGAATGATGGTGCTATAATGAGTCCCGAGAGTGTAGGTTTAGCATTCAGTGATGATAGTTACACGACAGGTGTGCCAGAAACCACGGGCATTAATGCGACCATAAAAGTTATACAAGTGATCAACTCAAAGAAAGCGCGTGATGGTACACCCAGCTTTAAGTGCGAGATCGTTAAGGGTAATGAGCTCGGCTACTTCGATATAAACACCGAGGATCATGGCTGTGGCGTTAGACTAGTGAAGCATCTAGATTTTGAGAATACGACTGCCTACTCGTTGAGCACACGACTGATATCGCACAAATATTTTGTAAATCCACAAAAGAGCATGGCCATGGTGAAGATCATAGTGCAGGACGAAAATGATAATGCACCCGAGTTCGTTTTCAACCGTCCACATCCGATGCGCAAAGACACTTTCTATGCTGTGGTGGCACCCGAAACCGATATTAACACACCGATCTTGCAAGTACGCGCCACCGATCGGGACTCGGGCAAATACGGCATGATACGTTATAAGATCTTCGATGAGGAGGACAATGCGATCAGTGATGAGCATTTGGTAAGTACTACACGAAATAACATTTAATCCAAATAAGTCGATCTTTTTCTTTAACTCGCACAGCCCACGACATATTTCATTATGACCGAGGACACAGGGATCTTGCGCACAGCCAAACTTTTCCAAGATGGCGCCAACTTTCCAATGATGTTCTACGTGGAGGCACGCGATAATGACGGCCAAGAGTTGGGCTCACATCATACGCGCGCACGCATAGTGATCAATCAGATCACCGATCAACATCGCATGTCTCTGGCTTTCTCCGATTCAGCGCCCAATGAGATACGCAACCACTACAGTGCTTTGGAGGAGCTCTTGGAGGAGAAAACTAATGGTCTTATAAGCGGTATTGAGCGTTTCAGCAATCGCAAGCTCTTAACTGAGAACGGCACGGTTGTAGAAAATCCAGCAGCCACAGATGTGTGGTTCTATTTAATCGATCCGAAGACGGAGCAAATTTTGACACGCAATGACACGACAGTACGTGAGGCGTTGTTAGAGTCAACAGCACGCGCTGAACTAAACTTTGCCGCTTCAGGTGTGGCGCATGCAACCGCCGAGGGCATTTATGCCCCGATCGAGATGAAACAGCAGGTGCACAAGGTAAGTTGTGTTGGGAAAGAGGAAAGTGTGGACCTTAACTTATAATTGTGTTTATGCTCTTTACAGGTTAAGGCAGCCATAGCAATCAACGATGATGTCTTTCCCTACACACTCATCGCCATCTCGATCATCATACTCATACTCGGCACGATCGGCATTATCTACATCTGTATTTCGTGGTCAAAGTGAGTTCGTAGGAAATTTATATAAATCTTATTGCCAAACTAAGCCTTTTCTCTTACTTACAGATACAAGAACTTCAAGCAACGCATGCGTCAATATGCCGCGCCGAGTCCCTCACGCTACGATCCGGTGATTGTTAACTCTCAAGCGACAAACGCCGGCGACACAGTCGCCAACATGAAAGAGTACGAGACCCAGGTGCTGGCCATGGCCGTGCCACCGGATGGTGATGATGATCTACAACTGGACTTTAGCGCCAAGAATCACGCTTTCTCCCTGGACAATGTCAGTTATATAACGCACAAGGAGAACGGCACCAGCGGCGGTCAAGCGAGTCCTTCACATTCGGATGCCACCACAGCGACCATAACCACTCTGCGACGCAACAATAACAATAACAATCTCAACAATATGGCGCATAATAATAGCAATAGCAATAATATCAACAACAACAACAACTTGAATGGCATGAATAATCGACAGAATACATTTAACCGCACGCTCGAGATGAATGCGCGCAACAACGCCAATCCACTGGCGGCGGCCGCAAACGGCACATTGCCCGGCACACTGACGCTGGGTCGTCTCAAGCATCAAAATGGCGGTAATCACTATCAGAATGGTGGCTACAAGCTGGACGCTGTGAGCCGCAATAATCTAGCTAATCTGCAGAATAATAGCTACAGTACGATGGGTCGGCGGGGGAACACATTTGGCGGGCCAAATGGATTGAACACCTTGAACGGGGATGGCGGTGGCAACACTGGTGAACTGATGACAAATACGCTGGGTCGCAACAATCATCAGCATCATCAACACAATAGTCGCGGTTATGCGGATGTGCCGATTACGAATCCACTTTTCCAACGGTGAGTTTTTGAAATTACTAGTTTGACAAAATCACTGCTCCACCGAGATAATAAATAACAATTCGTATTGAAAAGTTGCAAAAAAGTAAGTGTAAAGGTGAGTAAAGGAAGTGCATTCCTTTACTTTAATATTTTGTGAAAGAATTTCCAAATGCGTAAGTACGAAGAGTTTGGAAAACCAGCCGACTTGGGTTGTGCTTGAAAATGCTCTGAAGAAATGGAGCAAAGTCAGACCGGAGTTTTTCTTATATAGTAAGGAGAAAAGTGATCTGGTGACTGATGTTCAGAGCCTACCGAGTTTAAAGTGGGAACACTCTTCAGCTGACTTAATTGACTTAATTAAAGAAATCACATGAGATAGCCAACCCTAAACTCCAATGTGAAGTTGTTATAGACATTCCATCACCCGACCATCACGATGTTAGCTGGAAGGTAGCAAAGTAGCGGCCGCCGATGGTCGAATGAAAGCATGCCTGATGTGAGATCCCCTCTACGTCAATTATTATTAGCAAACTCGTGTTTTTCATGACTCAGAAAATTCCGTACGACATGCGGTTGACGCCCCTCATGTCCATTGGGTAGAAGGAGGATAACCGTTGCGCTTATTATTATTATCGCATCCAAGCTCTAATTTAAAGTGTTGTGGAAAGTATAAGACCCTCTGATCTTATCAGTGTGGCTGTAGACCTGGTCGATACTTCTTAGATTTGATATTCGCAATGCGTCAAATACAGCAAAAGGCGCGTACAGTAAGGATCGATCCACTTCAATTTATTTGTCTATTTTAAGAGTTAGTTTTGATAGCACGAAAGGAATGTTCCCACAAGTACTTAAGTGGCAGTGTAAACTGACGGTGTTTTACAGTGGAGCAATGTCAGAATTGAGAAGGACCTTACCGAGGTTTTAGTTAGTTCCTTATCGTGTGCCTTCTTTAACTTTAAAGTTGCGGAAAGAAGTGCAAGCTCCACGACTCAACAGGAAAAGATGCAATCTTCTAGAAGAGCTTATAACTGCTTTCGTTTGCCGAAGATAATGATGTTATTTGCTTCAACGGAAGTGGTGTTTGTTCTGCTTTATCCAGATGCGACAAAGAATCGAAGCATGATTGTGATCGAGGATAAGACGCTTATCTCCTTTCATCTATAAAACAATTAGCACTCTTTCGCTTTGGCTCCCACGTCAATGTTAACCGTCATAGCGTTGAAGTTTTAGATCATTCTCTCCATCTCTAGGAGCCAGCATTAACACCAATAACAAAATCTGCCCTGAAATCCAGCGCAGAATCACTCTTAGCAGCATGTGCTACGTTGAGTCGGCATTAGGAGTTTTCGAGAGAGAGAGGTTTTGTGGAAGATTTATAGTCATTTGTACAACGTTGAGTAACACAGGCGATGGAGGTATCAGCTGTAAGAGATAATTGCTGACATATAACATAGTTCAGCGTATTAAGACATAGCTTTTCGTTGGCTAGGTCATGTCGCCCGGATGAACGAAAATTTTCCAGCTCTGAAAGTATGCAATGCTGGTTAAGGTTAAAGAAGAGAAATATCTTCACTCCCTCAAAGGGATCAGGTAGAGGACGAAAAGACGTAACACCGGTAAGCGGTGTCCCTGCTAGTAAAGAAAAAGAAGAAGAATATAAAAATATATATCATTCTGTCCTTTAAAAGGAAATGTGAACCCCTACAAATGTATTTCTGACATGAAAAAAACCATTCATAGAGATTCAGTAGCCGTTCGAAGGCGGCTTAGAACAAATGACCAGTTGCACCTTCAAAAAGCGTGCCAGACAGTAAGTTTCTTAGGTGTACTGGCTTCTGTTCAATTATTTGAGGATTTTCGGAGCATCAAATGCGACAAGTTTGCTTATTTATGTATGCCCCGAGTGAGCAATGTGCCTCGTGGCTGAAGAAAATTTTGTCACCGTTCACTGCTTGTTGTTCCAGCACCCAATCGTCGTACGTTCGGCGTTGTGATTGGTCAGCTGGCTTCAGTTCCCTGCAGGGAAGAACCAACTAGTATCCAAAAATTCTAATTAAATACTAATATTTTGAAAATGAAATCGTACCGGTTCGTTATTTGTAAAGAAGTCCACCAGTAACGGGAGAAAAAATAATTTCCATCAGCGTTTGTTGTTGTTGTTGTTTTTAGTACGCCATAGCTGAGTTTCATTTCCTAAAAAGTTCTGTTGAGGTGTGCAGATTTTGTTACACTCTACGACATAACGATAGCCTAGTTGTTAGAGGTCTTCTTTTTTCTTTTTTGGTGAGGTAGAAAATCAAATGGACTAGTTTACAACCAGTATGAAACTGGTGCATAGTAGTATAACTGCCAGCTAGTAGTACATCGTCGTGTTAAAAATACCAGTTACTTACATGGAAAATGGATGAAGGTGAACTAGTTAGTGTAAAAATGTATGTTCTCCTGTAGGGTTGTTGTGTGAGCTGCCAGCTCTTGAGAGAGTCGAAAACTAGGTACATTTGGGCCTTACAATATCTATGACCAGACTGGTTCGGTCAAATTTTTAAGGAAATTTTTCGAATTTCTTGAGTAGTTGTGTGGTTCCTTGCACCTTACTCTCCTATTTAAGAAAGAGTCGAACACTTTATTTCATAGTCCGGATCAGTCTTGCGCTTTAACGCCTTTAGACTATTTTTTGTGGGACTATGTTAAATCTAATGTCTATACAGACACAAGCTTACTTCAATTGACGCATTGGAGGACAACTTTGAAGCATTTTTTTGGAAAGAGTATGCCAGAATTGGACTAAGCGGATGGACCATTTAAGGCGCAGTCACGGTCAGCATTTGCAAGAAATAATCTTCAAACATTAAGTTATATGGACCGTACTATCAACTCAAATAAAGATTTCGTGCATTTTGTATTTTTTTTTTAATCTTTCCTATAGCTTTTAAAAAAATCACGCTTTATTTAAAGTCCTGAGATTTCAATAGTTTAAGTTCAGTCAAAGTTTGTGATTCTTTTAAGAAATGCTTGTATACTTATAAACTCTACCAAAATTGGAGTAAGTAAAATTCTGATTTTAGAAATGTGTCTTTAAATAATTCTGCCAAAATGTGTCATCATGAATTTCAAAAATAATTTATTTAATAATTTAAATAGTTTTTTTGAAATCCCATAGCTTTTTTTCAAATATAAGTCCATAAATTTACAGTTATTTTTTTGCTGTGTTTTATTCAGTTATATACGTGTTATTTTTATAAAATATGTACCCAATTTTTTATTTTTTATTTTTCTTTTTTTAAATCCAAAAGTTTTGGTTTTGTCCTATTTCCTTTCAAAAATAAAAAATCGAGTTTTTTCTCGCAATCAATAAAATATATTTAAACCAATCCGCTGAATTCTCATGTGAATATTGGTACAAAAATAAACGCATTCTTCTTACTTTCCTTTCAGCTCCAACGGTGACCTGAGCCACATTAGCACCACCAACGAGAACGTCACCTTCGGCAAGCGTGACTACGGCCAACTGGGCTTCTCCTATTTAAATGATTTGGATCGCTCCGAAGTGGAGACTACAACGGAACTGTAAAAAACAAAGCCAAATTTTGGCAGTAAACGAATATTTACGAAAATTATATGTAAAAAAAGAACGAGGAAAAATACATTGGGCAGTTGGAGAGGCGGGCGAAATTGAAAATTAAGCGAAAGCAATTTTTGACTAATAAAAAAAAATTTAATTTTAATAAACGAAAGTTACCTTAGCTGCCCAATTCGACGAAGAAAAATGAATAAACAATTAATGACAATAACCCACACAATGCCAAACTGAAATAGTTTAAACAAATCAACTAAATTACTTGATATATTTATATATATACATACATATGAACTAATACACTATGTAGTATATAATATTGTATAGCTGTATGCCTTAACATATGCTCTTTCTATACATTTGTGTATGTATAAAGTGAGTTTTTATTTTTTCTTTCGATTTTTGATTGAAGAAACGTTGTGAAAAGCCGCTGTCTGTATGTATGTAATAAAATGTTGCCATTAAGCAAACTGTAGGTTTAATTTAATAAAATAAAAAATACTAAATAAATATATATGAAAGTATAGATATATATACATAAGTATATATAATACAATATAATAATAACTACACTTTTACATATACTATATATGTATGTATATAACATAGGTTTTGTATAAAACTGCTTATGAAATAAATGATAATCATAAGTTTTGTAAATACCAGACACGATTACACACAAATAAAAATTGTTTAATGTTGTATGTATATAAGTGGTTTTAAATTAAGCACTCTTAAATTGCAGCTGTTGAATGTAATGTAATAAATTTTGCTTTGCTTTCAAGGCAGATGAAAATAATGTAGTTTCAAATAATTTAAAAAAAGTCATTAGATTTTAGGAGAGTGTTTGCTGTAAGGCATAAATTCAATTAAATGCGAATATTGTTGAAAATACTAAAAAAAATTTAAAAAAAATTAAAACTTAAATAAAATTAAAGAGAATCGAAAAAAATTAAAACAGAAATTATGAAGCAAAACAGTTTTAATTAAATCTGAAGATTATGATATTTTTGTAAACGTTAAAAAGAAATATACTGTTTATATACTGATTACATATGAGAGAGAAGCTTTCAAAAATAAGTCTGTTTGGGAAATAAAAATTTTGTACACAATTTCTTATCAATTTTGCTCAATTTTTTTAAATTTAAGATTTTGTGATCAAATAAAACGATAATGAAGTGACGCGTATGTATGTTTAGTGAAAATAAATAATATTAATATCTTATACAATAAGAACTTTTTCTTATAACTTTCTGATGGCCCTAAAATCAAATATTCCACAAAAAAAAACTAAAATTGTTTAAATAATTCACATCAGTTTGCGGTTATTACATTTAAAATTTTGTTACCTCTAAAAATAAAGTAAAAGTAAATAAACATTGTAAATAACGTTTATAGCTCATTATTAAGACTTAAGAAAATAAATAATATAAAATTAAAACTCAAAATACCTAAAATAGCAATTAACGTAATTTCGTTATATGTAGCCGTGTAGAATATATGTATGTATGTAATTGAAATAAATTTTGTATATATGAACATGTAGAAAGCGCGAAATAAATATACTTCACTAGTTAAATAATTATCAAATTAAAAAAAAAACTCTTCGTTTTATTTATTTAAAATACAATCAATATGAAATATAGAAAATGAAAATTAATAAACAATACAGTAAAAAAAAATTAATTACAAAAAATATAATTAAAATAAATTTTAAAAAATAAAAAAAAAAATTTATAAAAAAGCGGATTTCTTTGAATTTGACTTTAAAAAGCAGCAAACAAAGAATTTTAAATAAAAAGTTATTTTATTTCACTTTATTTTATTATAAAAAATAAAAATCTTTAAAGTAACCGTAAAAATGTTAAAAATAAAAAACAATTATTTTAATTTAAATATATACATATCAATTTAATAGTAAAAAAAGAAAATTTTAAAGTGAACCTTAAATAATAAAATAAAAAAATTAATCGCAATAAATGGTTAAATTAAATAAATAACCGATTTTCATTTTTATAATAAGAAATAGCTAAGTTTTTCATTATATTACAGATATTTTTATCCACCTCTTAATACCACAGAGTGCCAACTAAATGGATAGCTTTTACTTGTTAGCGCCTGAAAGTATGCAAAATTTGAGTAGGTACGAGCACTAGCACCGCATACCTGAAGATATGACTCACGGCAGCCAGCTAGATACAAGTAAACAAGCAACTGCCACGACATTCATGCGCGCCTGGTGAAAATCGAAACTTTTGAGCAAACCGAAAAATTTTTACTTTCGATGACGACACTCACACACGCACGCACACAAATTTTCAATTTGTTCAATTTTGTTTAAAAAAATTTAGATAAAATGTTGTTTTTTTTTGGTGTATTTATTATGTGATATGGGTATCAAATGAAAGGTAATCGAAGGAGGATTTAGGTGTAGGCGGTTTCGTGTCGCATGGAAATAAAGAATGAAATAAAATCGTAGCCTAAATGGAAATTAATTAGAAAAAGTACTTTTAGACTTTTCACATAATTAGTTTTTTTTTGCGAAAAAGATCACTATAAAGTCTACTCCACAATTTTTAATGCTAAAAAATTTATCTCTTAAAAAAGAGGTTATAAAAGGTTATATATCACATAAGCTTCCCTAAATTCATATAATTTTTTTCCTAAAAATTATTTACTGGTTTTCGAATTGAGTTCAGTTGAGCTGATGAGTTCTTCTGAATTTTATCGCTACTTTCAGCTCGACTGTAGAGTATACTCGTATAGTAATTGATTGGCTTGTGACCGCAAATTTGAGCAACCAATCGATGGCTTGGAGGGTTGCAAAAAATTCTGCTTGGAATACGCTACAGTGGTCTGGTAGACTCATACTCATATTAATTGAGAGCGTCGGTGAAAAATTCCACAACCTATAATAATGGCATCCAATTTTGAGCCATGCAAAGAGTTGACTATGTCTCTTTGATCCAGAATCTTAACGTTTACCTGTTCGGAACTCTTAGTAAAAAGACATTGTTACAACAGAAGTTTGGAGTGGTGCAGCACTTGCGGAAATTTGGCGAGCCATAAGTGTTGGTCAAGTCCTATACTCCGTTTCCTTTAAGGCAGTGGTGCATTCAGTCGATTGTGTTGCAGCTCACTTGAAGCGTCCGGTACAGTTTGGACAAATGATTACAATCCAATGGCTTTTGAAAGAGCTGATGATAGAACTGCAACAGTAAGGATAATTGCCGACCATTGAAATCTGCTGTCAACTCGCGCCTGAATATGCTGTTCGAGAGTTGGACAGCAGATGATGGCTCCAACTACTGTATAGCCCAAGAAATTCACTTAAGAAAATTTGACTTTTTTGCAGTCCAGTTACAGTTTTCCCTGAGCTTTCCGCCCTGTTTCGGGGTTTGTTTCGAGATATTTCACAACAGTAGAGAAAGTGATTCCATGTCTTTTAGTAGAAATGGTCTATAAAACCTCATTCGTGTGGAAAGTTGTTTTGATTTGAAAGTGATGAAATTTTCAAAAGAATTGTCTCATAACACAATTCTTTCGAAATGCTTTTTTACTACAAACAAGAAGCTGTTTTCGGCCAAGCGCAAGCCCTAAGAGAATTTGAATTTTTTGCAGTGCTTTCAGGTTCACTCTCATATCCGAAAAATCAGTTTTATAGAGCTCGTTACAGTCCTCCGATTTCGATGATTTTCTTAAGGAGGTAAAAGCTCAGTCAAGCACTTGCCGAATAGTTTGTCGAGTTTACGGTGAGAATACTGTAAGGAAACCTCAGATCCAGAAGTGGTTTGCTCTATAGCATTTCGGATATTTTGAGCTCAAAGAAACGCTTTGTTCTGGTCGTCCTGGCACTCAAAAAGCCCATGAAATTCTGCAAATGATTGACCAATAGCTGCCTGCAAGCTGCTACAAGATGGCGGGGGAATGAGATATCAGTGACAGTGATTATGTATGTGGCTTTGGAATCATTTAAGAAAGGCTGGCTACAAAAAGAAACTCGATGTTTAGGTACAACTTGAATTATGGCAAAAAAATTTAATTAAACAGTAAATCGTATTTGAAATGCAACAAAAACGAACCAGTTCTATTGCCACCCATTTCAAGTGCTGATAAATACGTGAATGTAAACTTTTAAAAATCAGTGTCATACACCGCTGACCCCTCACAAAACTCGAAAAACAAGCTGATGCTGGTTATAAGGTGGGATTGTTATAGCATTGTCCATTAAGAGCTGCTATAACTTGGCGAATTGGTCTGATCGGAGTTCTACTTTCAACAATTAATCAGTTTACAACAAGCTATTCAAAAAGAAATGTCCAGAATTGATCAAACAAAAAGGTGTCATTACAAAAATTTACGAAGCTTGGTTGGGATGTGTTGATGCACCTACCCACCATATTGCCCATATCTTGCTACATCTAACTAACATTTGTTTCGGTCGCTGCAAAACTCTCCAGCTAGTTAAAAACTGGCCGTCTAGAGAGCCGCAAAAAATCCATTGGCTCAGTTCTTAATCGACAACACATGGAAGTTCCACATTGATTGAATCATGAAGCCAACTGAATAAGGACTAAAGGCCATAGAAAATAATGGTCAATATGTACCTGATTGAAATTAATTTTCAATAAAATAAAATAATTTTGAAAAATAAAAATAACCGGGAAGACTTTCCTCAATATTTGGGATAAATTTTAGTTCCTCCAAAATATAGTTGTATCTTACTGAGATGCAATTGGCGTTTTATACAGCTGCCAACGATATATTATACTATAATAAATTTTCTGTTGGCACACCAACTTCCAACTCTGTTACGAGCTTAAAAATTTCTTTTTTAAATATTTTTTTATTTAATATTTATTACAAGTATACGTATTTACTCTTAAAATTAAAGGATCGCTACAAAGGTGGTTCTCACAGACAACTACAAAAATTCTAAAGGCGATAAAGGGAAAATTTCGTCGAAAATTTATAAATCAACTACACTTTTTTTTACAAAAATTCCATTAATAATAAAATATAAAATTTAATAAAAATCTGAAAATTAATTTAAAAAATAATATTTGTTAATTAGTTGTACATACACAGATAATTAATCAATTACAAGTATTTAATACTACTACTTAAATAATAAATGACAAACCGAGCCAACGACACATTGTGCTTCGTCACTCGTTTTTACTCGGCTATACTACTCGTTAGACCACTTAACCAATATTTCTAGCAAATTGAGCAGCGAGCGGTATACTCGTATGTACGTAATGCAACCCTGCTTTAATGTATCATCACCAGCTTGGCTCTCGAGCTTTATTTACAACACATTTGTATGCATAGAATAAGTTACAACTAAAGTTCTACTTAAAATTTGTATTATTTTTTGTATGCCTAACTCATTATCATCATTTATTGCCCCCCAGCCACATTTGTATTTGAGCAGAGCTACGTCCTTTCGTCTCCAATACCATAAAGGCTACATAAAGTGTGGCTAAGAACATACAGAAGCCGAAGAACCAGAAAGTCATGTCCGAACCCCAAGCGGTGATCATGGAACCGAAACATTTCGTTACCACAAACACCGAGAACCAATTGGACATAACAGTCAATGCCACAGCGGTCGCTTTGACATCGGGCAGAAAGAGTTCACCCATCATTAGCCATGGTATTGGACCATAACCCACAGAGAAGACGATCATGAAGAGTACAACACAAAGTAATGGTAGCCAACCCAATGATGAAACATCTTTGCCGCCATCCTTCATCTGGAAGTACACACCCAAAATCGCCAGACAGACAGTCATCAAGGTACTACTGAAGAGCAGCAACACTTTACGGCCAGCACGTTCGATCAACAAGGAAGAGGTAAGTGTCATGACGACTTGCACGAAACCAACAATAATTGAGCAAACTGATGGATCTAAAGTGCTGCCGGCCGATTGAAATATGGGCACGGTGTAGAAGATGACAGCGTTTATGCCAGAGAATTGCTGGAAGAACATGAGCAACATGGAGATGATGAGGCCTTTGAAGGCGGCGCGATTGCGGAAGAGATCCATAAACGAGGCATCCGAACTAGTTTGATCCAGATCGGCTTGAATCATTTGAATGGCCGAGCGTGAGTCACAATAGCGACCCCAAAGCCATTTCAATGAGAGCGCAGCATCACCACGACGTCCCTGAAAAGTGGTTGAAAAGTTATTAAAAAAAAAAAGGTTTAATAAAAAAATAGTCAACTCACTTTTTTCAACAAATACGTGGGTGTCTCAGGCAATATCAGCATGCCAATGAACAAAGCGACGGGCACCATCAGACACAGCACACTCAATGTAGTCCATGAAACTACAGCGCCAATAAGATAAACCAAAAGAATGCCGAAAGTCAAGAGCAGCTGAAAGAGTGTGCCCAAAGTGCCGCGTATGCTTGTCTCCGCAATCTCAGAAATATACATGGGAGCGACAACGCAAAAGCTGCCAGTTGAAACTCCTGCAAAATTATAGTGAAATTGGCACCGATTCTAACTAAATATATGCAGATTTTTAGGCCACTTACCAATCACGAAACGTCCAAAATACAACATGCCAGGCGACTTCGCAAAGATAATCGCCAACCATGCCACAATGAAGGGCACATCCATAACAAGCGCGGTGTAACGTCTGCCAATCGCATCAGCGATGTAGCCAGTGGGTAAGGCACCGAAGAAGGCGCCAATCGCGACCAATGAACTGACCCATGTTTCTAAAAATAGGAAGAAAGAAAAAATATTCGTTTTTATTATTTAATTATTTTTGAAATTAAAAATATATTTCGATTGTTGATTAGTAGCAAATTAGAATATCAAAACATTTTGAGTCCGGAAAAGTAATAGTTTGTCTGAATAAATAATACCAAAAATTTTGGCCGTTACTTGCAAAAGTTACACTCGCTTAGAACGGATCTCAATACAGGTGTTTTCGTTTGAAATCTGTTTGAAATCTTTAGTTTACTGAAGGAGCCTTCATTTGGAATCGTTACGCATTATTAAACCATAGATCAAAGCAGTTCGTATTTAAATCGATAAGGGTGGCGATTTTTTCGGAATACAATGTGCGCTGAAAGTGGACCTGTGAATCATCTCAAATCTGCTTTCTACACCTCAATGAAAATTAAGGATTAAGTTAGTTATGCAACCATTTAAGATGATAACTGTGAGATCCAATAGTAGTGTTCTTATGACACAAAAGACCTCACGATAGGTCGAAAACCCTTCTATTCTGCCGTGGGTAGAAAATAATATCATTCAAATCTTGAGGCTTCAATATTAATTAACCTCCGCTGGGTGTTGCTTCAAAGCAGAAGTGGTATAACGCAGTGCTATCAGAAGACAATAATGCTGCTGTTGTTATAGTCGCGGACATCCATCAACAACAACTCTACAGCGTTCGTCTTCTTTTGCAGGATTTTGCTCGGTGTGAAGGCTTTTATAGTTCGATTGGTTCAAGAACTGAAGACTCTTGACCATTCGATGGGTCTCCGCTTCTTTTAACGGGTTGAAGATTGCTTGCCAGAAGATGAGCATTTTCATCGAAAAATCATCTTCTCCAATGAAACTCATTTTCTTGCGGTGTCTACACTAAAAAGTAAAATTGCCGCACTTGGAGCTCAGAAAATCCACATGCAGCCTTAGAAAATCCAATGCATCCCCAACGAGTAACTGTTTGATGCGACATTTGGACCGGCAGTAGCACCAGTCTTTCTCCAAAAATGAGGAAGAAGCTGTCACAGCCGTCAATGTCATTGGGTACGGTGCTATGCTCCGAGATTATTTGTTGCTTAATGTTGAAAAGAACGCCACGAACGATCTGTAGTTTCAACAGAATGACGCTAAGGGTCAGATAGCCAACGTTACAATCGAATTTTCTAGGCAGCATTCGAAGATCATAGAATTAAGTTAGAGATAAGGCGATTATTTCGAGACGGTTCATAACTTAAATCACGAAATTTGAATCGACATTGCAGCTGTAGAGGGTCACAATCGAAAATGTGTTGAAAATTGGGGTCAGTAGCCATTGGATTGAAGTGGCGAGGTAATTCAAACAAGAAAAAAATTATTCAAAAATAATTCATTAATTGGACCTAAAACAATATCTTAAAAATTATATAAATTTTTAGTCTAAACTTTTACCTCAACGGCAGAGCGTATTTCCACTATGAAGATGATTAAGTTAAGATCTCACATTTGTTTGTTGGGAAATAATATTTTGGACGTAAGGTCATCTTTTTATCGGCAAACAGCAAATAAATAGCATTCTCTTAACTAGATAACTTTGAGACTAGGTATCCTAAAATTTCATCACATCTGCATCTAAACCTCAGTGCATAGATGTCAAACGAAAAATCTTCAGTTTGCACTCTCAAACTGTTTTGATCTCGAAATACCAGAGTTTTCCTTGACCTTCCGCGTTTGAGTTGATAAAAAAAAAACACATCCTCATAGTTACGATCTCGAGGGGATATAACAAGAAATTTCCCAATTTTCTTCTTCCCATATCAAGCAAGGATTAGAAAGGTGTTCCCTTAAAAAAAGACATGCAAATTAGAGAGATTTTGCAAAGTTAAGCGGATGTTCTATCATCTTAATAGGCTGGAACATAAAGTAAAGTAAAGGGTGATTTTTTAGCTATTATCTTTTTGGCAACACTGGTTGAAACAGCTGACGCAAGTTTCATGTTTTGTATCACTGTCAAAAATCTTCAGTTTGGTCTATAATTTAACTATGAATCGTCCTACAAACAAACAACGCTTGCAAATTATTGAATTTTATAATCGAAATTCATGCTTTGTTAAGAAAGATCAAAAAAATAGCTGAATAATTTAGCAGAATTGTCGATTTTTAAGTGAAGATCAGCCAGAAGCATTGCAGAACTATCAAAGAATCCAGAATCACTGGGTCATACTTCTTCAAAAATGATGAACATAACTGTGAATGGTGGGGGGTTATCCAAGAGTACCGTGAGATGATATCTGATATGATGACTTGCATGACATGTGGTTTCAACAAGACGGTGCCATATGCCACACAGCGCGCATGGCAATGGACTTATTGAGAGACGAGTTCGGTGAACATTTTCTTTCATGCGATTTAACGCCTTTAGACTATTCTTGTGTGCTATACAGACAAGCCCGCTTCAATTGACGCATTGGAGGACAACATTGAAGCATTTATTCGTGAGATACTGGTCAAAATGGTGGAAAGATTGTGCCAAAATTGGACTAAGCGGATGGACCACTTGAGACGCATTCGCGGTCACTATTCGCATGAAATTATCTATATAAATTAATTTATATGGACCGTACTAAGGGTTCAAATCAAGTTTTCTTGCATTTTTCTGAATTTTATATGTTTTTTTTAAACTTTCTATTGATCTTAAAAATAACCCTTTAGTTCGATCATTTGAGCAATGAGAAGTCGCACATGTGTCCTGTGCTCAATCTATGTATACTATAAGAGTATGTATGTATATAAAAACGTTTATTTATATATATTCTGGGATTCCCGGTAGATTATACAGAAAACTTATCACTTCGCTTCTATAGCGACAAAAAGGGTTTGTATGAAAAAATATTTTTATTAAGTGAACCAAGGAATATCATATTTGTGGCTCGAATTAATTGAAATTTAGGTGGGGTTTTACCTAGATTTGAAGGAAGGCTACTCTGCACCTTAGAATCGGCACCAGGTGGGTGGGTTCTATTTGAAAACATTTTATTTTCAACACTGTATACTTGAAACTCTTTTTTTCTTAAGGGAAGTAGGTAGATCTATTTGAAAAAAAATATACATATTCATAGTTTGTTTTGTAACGCTGAAATAAACCCGAGACCTCTAATCTAAATAATACTTTCCCTACGAACAACGTCAGATTGTTAAAAAATTGTACGATTTGGATAAAAGCTATTGGATTAGGCGGCAATCGCCATTCGAACTTCTTCATAGCCGGGCATTGAAACAGCTGTTCCATCGTCATCGATTCGGGAATCTGGCTGGATATCTACTGGTGTTCCATTTTCACTGCCATTTAGCAGGCTCTCGGGTTCTACATGGGTATATAGTTGGTTGGTTTAAGGATTGAAGTGTTTGTTGGGCATCAGCTCACTTAGACCCCAAGTGGGCTCATTTTGAAACCGCTGAGGATCCTGATGTCCACCACACAGTAGAAGTTTGTAGAATTGAGCAGTCACCACTTATTAGCCCCACTATCTTGCTCAGGTCTTCAAAGATCGCCACCCCTAGAGACTTCAAAATACTCCTTCAAGCTGCAAAGCGGCATTTCCAAACTCTACCTTACAAGCTCGTCTGCCATCTCATAACACGGAATGTTACTGTGTCCAGGTACCTATCGCGTCAAGTGATCTGCGACAGTCCTCTACGGCTTTAGATTTTACTGTTATAGACTCCAGGGCTCATAATGCAGCTTCGCTATCCGAAAAAATATGAATAGGGTTATCCGAGAGTACCATTGAGCTGAGATAATTGACTGCCTCATGTGTAGCTATCAGTTCTGCTTGAAAAATACTACACATACCAAAATCCTTTGAGTGAACTCCGCCATTGACATTGTTCTTTAGCCATTTATAGCTGTAATTTAATTATCATTTCGATAATTACATATTTTTCTTTTTGAAAAATCTTTAACCTATATCAATTCGCATTTCCCTTCTATACCCTCACACGACTACCATTCAAAAGCACAACTAACCCTAAGCGGCGTCTATAAAAATGTTAACTACCAACCACAAAGTCAAGGTCAACCGCCAACTGCGGCAAGTGAGCCCTTTAAAGGTATTAAATGAAAGCGCGTATCACCGTTAAAATTGAATTGAGTTTCCAATTAACTTAATGCATTTAAGCTATTAATAGTTCAACGCAGTCCAGTATTTGCTTTCGCTTAAATGTAGTCTGGTCATAAATCAATTGAAATCAAAAACTATTGTTTATTCAGTTAGCTGCCAATGGGGCAGCAGCAGGCAGGAGGCGCCAGTAACCGTACGCCAACCGCAGTTAGGTTACTGAGAGGCGTAGAGCGAGGTAGTGAGTGCATATTTGCCTTTGCAATTGATTGCATTCTGGTATCGCATACAAACAAATGCTTTTTTAAAGGAAAAACTCTCAAGTGGGGGATTACGAATACTGTGTACCTATAAAAATGCATATGTGTGTGTATGTACCTATTAAATTCACATAAAAACTTTGCATAATGCTCATTAAAGAGGCAAGCAACTCATTGTAAATGAAAAAATGTTAGTAAATTGTTAGTAAAAATTAAATAATTGGCGGTGGCACTATTGTTAACTAAGCCAAGTATTCAGTTTTTAATAACAACAATATCCCCCTAGAAGTGTGGATTACTTACTGTTCGCATGAGTGTGTACTTACGTTGCTCGAGCGTTAAACGTAATTCTGACGAATCGGCAGCAGGTGTAACTGGTGTTGTTGTCGTTGTTGTTGTTGTCGACATTGTTGTTGTTGTATTGGTAATAGTGACATTGGTATCCTTACTGGCATCAGTTGCAGGCACATCAGGTATGGCGCTTATTTGTGGCAACACTGGCGAAGTCCATGCTAATGCTGTACCAGCTGCTACAGCACCGAGGCAAACTGTAAAAAGGAAAACATACACATACCTATGTAAATACATACGTGTATATTGCTAAATAATAAATAAATATTATACATAAAAATACATATAAATTTAAGGTATTCTTAGCTACTTTTACTATAGGTGGGGTGAAAAGTAACCTCCTTGGCCGAATGCGCTGCGACTGCAATACTGTTTTAGAGCCTTGTAGCCCATGAATATTTAGGCAAACATGCCAAAGGCCCGTGCGATACTGCCCGCATACACTTACATACTAGTTTTGTTTTGAGAGTTAAATATGGATTAAAAAGATTTTCATTCTCTCATAAAACATTATTTTGTGAGAGGCAAAATGGCGATGGAAATAAAAGAAAAGTTGGATTAATATTATGAGGATAATTCTCCGTTAGATTACACCGTTAAATATTGGTTTCAAGAGTTTCGTGGTGGTCACAACTCCACTACCGATCAAATCCGCAGCGGCAGGACTTCCGATGCGGTCACCGTGGACAATGTCAAACAAATACATGAAATGGTGTTAACTGGCCGGAAAGTGAATGTGGGCGAGCTAGCATATAAACATATATACAAAGATTGGTATTGAGCGCCAGCAACATGTTTTGTGCAAGATTCTGTATATAAAAAAGTTATCCTGCGGCTGGCTACCTCGCGTGCTCACTCTGGACCAAAAACACGTACGCAAGAGCACTTCGAAAGAAAATATCAAGGAGTTGGAAATCGCTGGAATAAGTGTATCGAGCTAAAAGGAGGCTACAGGGTAGGCAGGTAGCCTTTTTTATTTGACTTTAATTTGCCACAATTATGCAACAAGGATGCCCTCGTCCTCTAGCAAATATTCCTTGGACACTTTCGCATGCCCATGAATTTTCTAGACTAGGTAAATACTCTTTAAATTTTGTATTTAATTTACTAGCTATGTATGTATATAACTGCGTCTATATATACTTACCAACCATTGCAGCAACATACTGCATCTTCTTCGAGGTTCGAACCACGCCATCCTGTAGGGGGTCATAAAGCATCGGATTACGCGCATTGGGATCGTTGTCCTCTTGACTGACGGTCTACGATAGGAAAGAAAAATATTTTATTATATGTTATATATTATTTTTTAGTTAAAATATTAAATCTTTTAGTAGGCTGTATATTTTGTAATATACTTTTCATTTACAGTATCTCAGAAAAGTATTCGGAAACTATATTCTTTTTAGTCGAATTTCCAGAAGGTTTTGCGTTTTTTTAATTTGATTTCACAAACTTTCGTTAAAAATTTCCACCTTACACTATCAAACTCCTGTTTTCCCTTCACTTGGTAGCACTGTAAACTTTAATTTTATGGGACACAATTTTTTATTGTGAGCTGACCCTAGCTTGACTTGATCCTTCTTCGTCGACGGACTTTCTCTTGCATTCACATAGCTCTTAATTTTTTTGACCTGAGCCTTAAGTTATGGCATTCTCCGAGTAGAGCGTGTAGGATTGAAACCCTACTGAAAGGGCTTTCAGGTCACTTTCTTGATTATGTTCAACTCATTAAAACCCTGGCAGGCCTCGTAATAGGTAGGTGTCGATAATAAGCTGTTGATGTACGTACTTATTTCTGATCTAGTTTTGAGCAACTGCCACATGAGGGTAGGTCCGCGCATGGCTTCCATGTTATTTCTTATTTCATTTACAGTTATGGTTTATTATAGTTACTACACATGAGAGCTAGGGCAGTGTTTATGAGAGGCACCCTCTGAATACGGAAAAACACAAACAATTTCATAAAAAAAAACTTTTGTCAACACAAACGGGTTCTCACAGCGCAGGCGCGGACCTAAAGCTTTCCCCTACCTCAAAGAGGCAATTTCCAATATTGCCGTTAGGGCAACCATTTATAATACCATAGAACGATAATGTGGGGTCCAGTACTAGTAACATGTTGAAACAGCTGCGCTGGAAACGGTGGGTCTATCCGTGGCCGAAAGTGCAAGGAATTCATAGACGACAAGCGGCCACCAAAAACATCACCGATGGCATCTCCGCCTTGTTGACAAAACCACCGCAAAAGCATTGCAAGTGCGAGAGTCGGAGAGTCGAATAGACTCTGAGAAGACATGACTGGATCCCTATGAACACGCTGCCCCGAAATACAAGGGAGGTAGCTATGCTACCTAAATTCCAAGTAAATTATGGATCAGCTATAGAAGTACGGGCAACCCCGAGGAAACGACAAAGATCGGTGGAAGAGCAGTAATACTCACATCGAAGAAATCTCACCTCTCTCATAATTACTTTCTCTGCAATGAGGTGGCCGTCATTGAACGTAGTTTGGCGTTTGCGGAAATAAAAGCTAATAAAAATGCCGCCAGCAGTAAAAACTAATAATACTATATAATTAGTTGGTTAAGCGGTTTCTCTAACACGGAACTCTGGAAAGATGTATACCTACCGTATGGTGCAGCTCATCGTTTGCGCAATTTTTTGGGATGTCCCTATGACCAGGTACCTAAACTACAGAGGTTTTGCATTTAGTTGGGAGCTTGCTTAAGAATTTTCTTTATCTTATAGCCTCCTTTAGGGTGATATAAATACGCTAGAGAGACTTGTCGGGTTTCCCTTGTCGCGTTTAGTTCCGCTTTAAAGACACTGCTGTGGCCGGGGAGTCTCCTACTTAATTCGATAGAAAGAGTTTCAGAGTAAATTCCTTAACCTCCTTTGATATATCCAAACTCTTCGGAGAATGAGGTAGAATTTAATATTTGGACATGTTGTACGTCGTTCCTCCATTGTTGAGTTGTATTTTCTCTTATGGCGGTAAAGCAGGCGTAAGGTTCTACATATAGGTCTACGGAGAGAAGATTAAGCAGAATTGCAAAGAGGCCGACCGCTGAACTTTTACCAACTTGCTTTTATAAGTTGTCTGGAAAATGAATTTAAGTAGAAGATTAATTTAAATTTTCTAATTGCGGTCGCCCTTTGTCTGGGAATTTCAACCACTCCAAGTGTATTTATGACATGACCCCTCGTGTCTGCCGTTCGCAGCCGTTCGAAGGCGGCTTAGAATAAACTGTAGATCCCTCCATTTGTTGTAAAAATATTAAGATATATATATTATAAGTAGTCTTGTCTAGTTTCGGGCAACAGACAGCAACTTCGTAAATAATATAATGTTTGGTCATAGCACAGTTTATACCGTATTCCGGTTCCTGGTGAGTTTGCTATTGTTTGATAATTAACCTCAGCAGATCAGCGATCTCGTTGCATTTGAGCAAATGTGGTTTAAAAGCAGATGGCTTGCACCTTCCCGTGTTGCATACCATTTCTCGAAGGACTTACATCCAGGCCACTTACTGCGTATTACATTCGAAGGATCAAACTCAAAAGGCTGGGAAGCACTGGAGTCGAGTTATTTCGAACAAATTGTATAGGTAAAAGTAAGAAATTACATTAATGCGTAAAAAGTGGAGATCAACAAATAAACAAAAAAATTGTAGATCAAATTATCTTATTTATTGACAACACTTTTCCATTGTAGTAATAATATAATTGAAATATTTTATTATTAACTGACATCAGTGCGGTCGTATCGAAAGTGATTGATATTGATATATATATATATATATGTATGCATGAATTATGAAATATCATCAACGCATTATTAATAAATATACATATATATATATATATATATATATATATGTGAACACTTTGAGTGAAGCGCTGTTATTAATTGACACTTGAGTTAGAATAATGGAAAATTCCCTTGAATAGTTATAGTAGCAATTGAAGAGTGTCTCTAAATAATTTACACAAAAAAAATTCAAATAATTGATTTTTCAAGTAAAAAATAAATAAAAATTTATGTACGAATAGACACCAAATCGATTTGTAGTAAGTATTTTCATGTGCTTATCAATCGTTTGCCGCTTGAAGAACTCGCGCAAGTTCAAGTCCATTGACGTGCTCGTAACAGTCGATTTATGTAAACATACACATATATTTATGGCATTGCTGCACTTGAGAAAACTCAACTTTTCTTTTTTAACTATTTCTATTTATAATTTTAAACTTTGTACTTTAATGTTTTGCCATTTTTTTATTTTTAATTTTTTTTTTTAATTTTTTCGCATAAACTTCTGATGCTGGCAGTTGAACAAAATGGATTGTATACAAAAATGTATATATATATACCTATATATGTACAAATATACTGAATAGCAGCGACTAAATTTAAAATTCGCTCACTGCGTTCCTCACGTGCCTTTGAAGAATTAGCGTAAGAGTCGCTGCGGCGCCTCAAAAGCGAACGCCAATGTCAGCGGCAATAAGATCGCGACGTTATAAAAGCAGCACACTAAGAGGCAGCTATTTACATACATACATATGCATAATCTCTGTATGTACATATGTATGTATGTATGTATGTATATCGTGATGCAATCAATAACAGCGCCAAAGTAAAACAAACTTGCTCAGCAGGCGGCGATGGTCAAGTGTACAGTTTTGCAACGGTATTTCGGGTGTTTATTTAAAACTCTGTGGGCGTGTCAAGCGCCAAATAAGCAAAACGGACAAAAATCTAATTTGCTTAAGAAGAAAAAATTTTAAATATATAAAATTTTAATTACCGACAAATAGTTTGAAATATATGCATACATACATGCGTGTATGTATATATGTATATGAATATGAAAAATAGTATGAAGAAAACAATTTGTTTGTTCTATAAATATTTTTTTTTTTTACTTTTTTTTGTAAAAACATAATGGCATTCTTTTTGGCACTATGCCATCTACGCAATTTATTTTTTTAACAACAACAAATATGCGAAAATAAATTTTTGCATTAATGCAGTATGTACCCGAAGACATTTTACTCACTATTCCCACACAAAATTCGTATAAATAAAAAATTGCATATGAACATACATATATAAATTTATTTGAATGAAGCTATTTTATAAAGGGTGTTTTTTTTAGATATCTGAGTTTTAAGAAGAAATAAAAAGCATATAATAATTTAATGTTATGGCAAAAAAATTTAAATTCATTATGAAGACAAGCGTTTGCCGTTTTGTTTTAAAACTGTTTTCGGGCAAGTGACAATTTTCCAATTTCCAATTTTCCGCCACTTTTTGCAGCAATATGTCACAAATAACGCGCCGAATATGCGCTTTCAAGGCAATGAATGATCTCCGGCTTATCTGCGTAGACAAGCCAATCTCTATACCCAGCGGTGTTAAGTCTTGGCGATCTAGGAGACCACGCCACTGATCCACGATGCAAAGAAGTCTAATTCAATAAATTAATTATTTGAATGGCTGTATGCTACGGAGCGCTGTCCTTTTGGAACCAAATATGGTCCACGTCAACACCTTCTAAGTTAGTCACAAAAACTCTTCAAGTCCTCTAAAAAAATTTCCAAATTTGTTTTACCTGTAAATTCCTTGAAAATACTTTTAGAAATAATATAGAATTAGTACCGAAGGTCTGCAAGACTAAAAAGTAAGTGTACAAGAGGGGAGAGTGGAGCGCGAGAAGCGGGAAATTCAGCTGCTCGAGCACTTCGATCGTCTTGTTCTCGAACCACGTTTTCTCAACTGGGTGACACTCTTATTTAAAACCGATTGAACTTATCAACATGGACTAAACGGCATTTTAATCCTAAACTGTCTCTGTATGGTCGGTACTACAACAAAAAATATTCATTGCTTAAAAAAAAAAATAAAAATAAAAAAAGGGTAATTAAATTAAAATGTGTTGTTTTTGTGAAAACGTTTAATTATAGTTCCGGCCATAGCCAATGTGATAAAGAATAAGAAACCGTTTTGATTTTTGCTTCCAGATGATTCGTTTTATAGTTGTGGTATTACTCACCAGCAAAAGGGACGTGCCGCCATTAAAAAAAATTTGACTTATATTTTTTTACGTTTACTTATATGACTACATAAACTCTGATTCATAATTTTTTTTTATAAGTTTTGTTTGAAAAAAAAACACATTTTTTGGAGGAACCAGGCCTTAACCATGCCTATGTAGCGTTTCCCATTGACTGTTACATTATGGCGAGCTTCATTTTT